GCAGCAAATTGCAGAACGATGCAGCAAATTGCAACAAGACGCAGCAAATTGCAGAACGATGCAGCAAATTGCAGAACGATGCAGAATAGAATCCCCGCTTAGCAGCCATAACTATCTGAACACTAATCGATTGACTCTCGTGACAATAACTATATACAATACTAGGACTACAAAACTAGGGGCGATTGCTCTCCTTCCGAGCGACTCTGAGATGCTTGCAGAGCTGGTCCAGCGAGACCCTCTGCTGCTGCTGCTGGCTCACCTGCCACATGGCCGCCTCCTCGCTGGTCCTCCGCGCCTGCGCGATGCGCCTGATCTCCTTGATGACCTCGAGCCGCAGAGAGTACCACTGCAGCTCGCTCTGACGACCTGACCTCCACTTGTTCCCCCAGCGCCTGTGCAGAGGTATACCTGCTTGAATCTACGTCTGCCAGCGACGGCGGCGCAGCTGCTGTGTGCCTGAGTGGAGGTGGTGGCAGCAGCAGACCGCCCTGCGCCTGCGACGCCTCCAGGCGGAACATAAGGCTGCCAGACGTGAGCACCTGCAGCTGCTGAGACTGTAATCTCTGCAGCTCGCGCAGGTGATTGAGCTCCTCCTTAAGCTCCCTCTTAAGCTCCCTCTTAAGCTCCCTCATCCGCTGCTCGTTCCGGGCACCCAGCGCTTGGAGCTGGTCAGCAAGCAGGGGTATCGCCTGGTACAGGACTGACAGCCGACTAGGAGCTGCCTCTGCGTCGAGAGACGCGTCGATGTCCTGAGCGAAGGCGGCGTACGCCCTGTGCTGGAACACTGGGTGGTTCCACACAGGGTGGCTAGGGAAGCGCCGGCGCAGCGCAACTGAGTCCTGGAGGATCACCTCTCTGAGGTAGAGCAGCAGGCTCGTGAGGCCCCCTGCGGCTAGGTCGTTGATCTGGCCAGCGTGTGGGCCGAAGCGGCCCTTCCACGCATCGAGCTCTGGCCAGATGAGAGACAGGAGCTCGTCTGGAGGCGCGACAGCTGCGCGAGGGATCTCGAAGCGGCCCATCTGCGGCGGATGGCCAGCCATAGACCTCATGAACTTCCGCGGCAGTGAGTTGAGGTAGCAGCCAACCATTTGCTCCTGATTCCACCTGCCTGCTTGCTGAATCTGATCCTCACTGACCCCTTTAGGCTCTGCTGGCTTAGCTGCTCTACTGCGTGGGAGGTGAGTCTTCTTCTGAGATAAGATCCCAGCGTAACTGTACGCCTTCGCGACCCAGTCGCGCTGGGAGTTGTAGGAGAAGGCTGCTGTACGATCGCCTGTGCTGGCCTTGATTAGCTGTATGCGGTACTAGGCTGAGCGCTTACTAAAGTTAGGAAAGGGCTTGTCGCCTAGGTCCTAGCAATAGAGCAGGTAGAAGGCTAGGCTGCTGAGCATGTAGAGGATTGGCTTCCTGTGCCGCAGCGTGCCTATTGTCTTGAGCTGGCTATGCTAGTTCTGCTTGCTTGCGCGGGTGGTGAATATTAGGGGCATGCAGCGTGTAGGGCCCTCCCCCTTAAACTTAAAGGTGAACAGGTCTAAGATCTCTGCAGAACAGCAGTCGCCTCCGCGCGTGAGCATGTAGTGGCCCAGCATGAGATCAACTAGCGTACGGAAGTGACACTCTACTGTTGCTGAGGACAAGCTCGCGTCTGCGCTATGTGTCCACAGCTTGCTACAGAGCCGCTTAAACTTGTCCTTAGTGTAGCTGTTGAGCAGCGTGTCTCTGCCCTTGTCAGCGTACTGCTCTTGATCTCGCTGGGCATCCCTGCGCTGCAGAGACCTAAGGTACTCCCTTGCGCTGTCTACGCGCGGCGATGGGTGGCTGTTCATGCTCAGCGCCTTCTGCTCTCGCTAGAGGTTGGTGATGGCTGTGATGTAGGCGCAAACTAAGCGCTAGGCAAGACGCGTCTTGTCTTGGGGGACGTTGCACCCTACCTTGCAAGACCTAGTCCTTAAGGGCTGGTTTGCAACCTCTTTAACTAGGAAGAGCAGCAGCTTCTCCTCTGTAACAGTGCTGCTGTTGTGGTACTGCTTCCTCTTGCATAACGCCTAGACGCGGGAGTTAGCACAGACACAGACACACAGATAGGCAGGCAGGCGGGCGAGAATACTACCTTGAATTCCTCCTGCTTTGGACCATAGACCTGATGCGTATTCTCTGGCCGCTGCTCGCGAATTGTAGCTAGGATATGGTGCACATTGACGCGCAGCTTAGCGTTGTTCGCGATGTTGACGTCTGCGCGCTCGCGACGCGCCCTGCGCTGTAGACCCATGCTCGTGCCCCCTGAGTGAGTGTGTACAGTGAGGGAGGGTATATACAGCAGCAAGCAGCGCACGCTGAAGCTCGGGCTCGGGATGAAGGTGATGCCTCCGCCTCTCTATCGCCACAAAGACTCTATCATAACCCACCACAGCCTCCCGCGCCGCTTGCAACTATTCACCTACTTACATCTATAGATGATAGCCTCTAGAATAAGGTTCTTCTTGCTGCTGTTACAGATCCCTTAACTGTTTTGCTTGCACAACCGCTAGTTTCGTGTTACGATCGCTGGTGGGCCAGAGGAACATGCGGGTCTCCAACCCCACGGAGGAAGGACGGATGGGCGCTGGTGAGGGCACGGCGATAAAACGCCAAAGGTGCACCATCAGAGGCTTAGCATTGCACCAGCC